GCCTCGGCCTCCCAAAGTGCTGGGATTACAGGCTTGAGCCACCGCGCCTGGCCTCTTTTTCTTCATTCTTATCTACACTTGTTTACTGAGTAATTCATTAATAAGACATACACATAAAGCACAAAAAAAGCTCTTCAATATCACTCGCATTCATCTATACTATCACAAACATCCTAAATCCCTTTCTCTAAATGAATTAAGTTTTTTACATAGGCATTAATCAACGTAATACTTCATATCAATCTGAAATAAAACATCAGCATGACTGACCTCCTTTGACTCACTCAAACCAAGGTACAGTAATTTTTACCATTGCTGATGCTGATCTCTCTGCTCCTAACACCATGGAAGAATAAGCCAATCAGGGCACAGGAGTTTGTGACCATGGAAGAATAAGCCAATCAGAGCACAGGAGATGATTACATATTCTCTTCATTGACCCATGATTCCTCCATCCTTTTATAGAGTCATTCAGGCATTTATAAATTTATATGAATATTTATTTCTTTTTCTCTTAATAAATCAAACATGAAATACACAAGTTAATCAGATAAAAAACGGTTACTTGTCACTTTCTGTGATCACCATTAGTCTAAGACAAAACACACTTGTTCCAATGTATTCATTCCAATTTAAATTAATAGTATTTTTCCCTCCTGTATATTTTAACAATGAGCATGCTTTACCACCTTGATGTATATTCATTATGTATTTATCTACTCTATCAGTGATTCCTTACAACTTTTAAGAATGCATGACCACAAAGATTCTTGTATATCACTGACACCGACTTAGCGGAGCTTGTAAAGAGAGGAAGTGGTCTGCACACTCACAGTGGTCTGCATTCCCCTCACACAGGGGCAGCCACAGAGCGCAGGCCGGGGAAGGATGCTTCCGCCAGCTGGAGTGGGTCCAATCTAAGGAGCAGCAACAGAACAGATGATTTTAAAATTCAAGCATTTCTCCAATGACCCTTGTTTTTCATCTCTCATTTAGTCACTTAAATCATCATTATCTGGAATATATTTATTTCATAGTCTCTTAAAACAAACAACTCTGAACTTGCCCCTAACAAGGACACTTATTATTCATCACCTTTGACTCTTACACCACCAGTCATCATCATTAGTCCAGGAATGGCTCATCTTTTCTTCATTCATTTCTACATTGTTTATTGATTAATTCAGTAATTTACTAATGATATGTTTAAAGTGCTACAATGTACAAAACCTGAAAAAAGCCTTGATATCCCTAATACGTGTACAGAATCACTCTCAGATCAATGTCACTCCTTTACTAAATATCCTCAGTTTTCTTAAATGAATTCACTGAATGAATTCATCAGTAGACTACTTCATACCAATTTCATGTTTGTCACTGGGCTGCAGTTGGCCTTCTTTAATATATTGTATGATTTTTAATACTATAGTAATTGTCCTTTAAAAAAGCACTCAAGCCAAGAACGTTGACTATTACTCATAATGGCCTCCAAGCTCCTAACACACAGTTGCAACCACACGGCCCAAGGGCATGAAGGGGTGCTTGAGACAACTCAGGTGAGACCACTCTGAGGTGCACAAAGTAGGACTACTGACAAAAAATTTGAGACCTTATGGCCATTGTTCCCTGCTCCGTGTCTAACATTTAACCAGTAATTAGGGCAATCATTAATCGGGAGGATATTACATTTTCTCTACAAATGAACAACTTCAAATTTGCCACAGACTCAGAGCATGAACATTGTCTGTAATTTAAACTGCCTGTGTCATCATTAACCAAAGAGGTAAAAGTCACATACCATTAATTTCTCATTGAATTTCATGTTTTCAACATACAGTGTTAGTATTTCCTGCCTTGCCACATATTTTTATATTTGGACAATGTTTCATCTATTTTATCTCAATTTACTTTTATATTTGTTCATTGATTCTTTTTATCAATCCAATTACAATAACAGAATGAACGTGCATGAAAAGAAAGAGTTCCACACACAAATAATTCATTATCCAAGACTCATACACAGGCAATTTTCATCATTAATCCAGGAAGGGCCCACTTTTCCCCAATTCATTTCCAAGTTATTTATTCATCAATTTAGTAATTATAATTTTAAAACTCTGTGATTCACAAAAATACAAAGATTTCTATCCCAAACATGTACTTAGAATCCTTCTCACTTCAATATCTCTTATGGTAATAACAATTACAGTATTTCATGTATGCACTGAACAATATAACACCTCTGAGTAATCCTGTGCTTATCACTGAGCTACAGCTCACCCTCTTTGATTATATTTCACGCTTTTTAATAATACAGTGACTGCCCATAAAGAAACCATGCAAAGCAAGGCAAGAACTTTAGCTATTACTCACATTGTTCTCTAGGCTCCTAATGCAGACATGCAACGAAAAATCTTGTGACCAAGGAGGAATTCTTAAGTCAGCTTGAGTGGGTCCATTCTGAGAAATATAAATCAGAGAAAAGGGTAAAAAGATTTTTTTTTAAATTGAGGCATTCTCTGCACAGAATGAAAAGGCATGAGCACAAAGACCAAAACCAAGATCCTCGTATATTCCCGGTAACTGCCTGCAGGGCCATCCAACCAGAGTAAATGAATTACATCTCTTTCACACGGGACCTCAGAGTTCCAGACACGTATTCATCGTCTATGACTCATACGCCACCAGTAGTCATCATTGATCCAGGACTGGCCCTTCTGCTCTATTGTCACCTACATTTGGTTATTGATTAATTCATTAAATCATAAAATGATAATGTTATTATTCACAAAAACTCAAGAAGAGTCCTTATATCCCAAATTGGTACATAGAATTATTCTCATATCAACATATCAGTTTCATTCTCTTATTTTTCATATATGCATTAATCGATACAATGTTTCAGACATCCCATATTTATCACTGTTATAATCATATTCATTACATTTTATGCTTTTTAATAATATAGTGAATAATCTTAAGATAAAAGAAATACTGAAACCAAGAAAATAATTTCAGGCATTACTCACTTTAGTCTCCGTGCTCTTAATACAGAGAGGCAACCACAGAACTTGTGGCCATGATAGTATCCATTCTAAGAGTATGAAGCAGAGCAAACGATAAAAAATATTAAGACATTATCACCATTGATTCTTGATTCCTGCTTTCTGCATTTCATTTACTAGGTCACTTAGGTATCTATTATTTGTTTGCTCTGTGTGTGTGTATATATACATATATCCATATGTGTGTGTGTGTGTGTGTGTGTGTGTGTGTGTGTATCTTATGCAAAGAAATACATCTATCATGAGAATAATCCAGAACAATAAAATCAACTCTTACCTATCAATTTCTGTATGATTCTTACCAAAAGTAGTAACATCTTTTATTATTTGTAAATGAATGCAAGTGCTTTAAATTTTGATTAATAATATTTCTTGCCTCCACACATATGTTCATAGTTGGACAATGCTTGACTCTCTTTTCCTTTATACATTAATTTGTATTAGTTTAATGAATCTATTATTGATCCATTGATAGTAATAAATAATCTATGGAATCAATACATGGATATCATCTATATATTCCTGATATTTCTCTGTAAGTCAATTTCAACAGAGGGAGTAGAATAACTATGTGTTGTGTTGGACCTCAGAGTTTCAGACACATATTATTCATCGTCCATAACTCCAATGCCACCATTTGTCATCATTGGTCCATGACTGTGTCTCCTCTCCTTCATGTGTTTCTACATTTTTATCAACTAAATGATCATTATTGACATTAACACATGGTTCAGACAAAGCCAACAACAAGGTCTTTGAATATCTATAACATCTACAGAGTCATTTTCAACATAGACTAGATCCCTTTCATTAATTGGCCACAATGTTGCACAGGATAAATTAAACAACATACTGTTTCATGTCACGCTCATCACTGAGCCGGGGTTAACTTTGTATTCATTTAATACTTCTTAATTTTTTGATTGACAGAGAAAATTATATTTATTTACCATGCACAACGTGATGTTCTGAAATATACATACATTGTGGAATAACTAAATCTATCTAATTGACATATGTATTACATCTCAGAGTGATCATTTTGTGGTGAGAACACTTAACATTTACTCTCTAGCATTTTTCAAGAATATGATAGATAACATTACCTATAGTCACCATGTTGTATAATATTTCTCTGAACTTATTTCTCCTCTCTAACTGAACAATTTAATACATTTTATAATAATACCAAGAATATCCTCAAACAAATTACTGAAACCAAGATAAGAACTTTGACTAAATTTACCTTGGTGTCTTTCCAAACACAGAGCCAGCACAAAAATTTTGATCCCAACAGAATGCTTGAAACAGCTCGCTGTATCCATTCTGAAGAGTAGAAAGCACAGAAGAGGATTTAAAAACGCTGACATGTTCTCTCCATTGATTCACGTCATCTGGCATTTGTCGACACTGCCTTTTAGGCCTTTATTAATTTATGGAATATTTATGTATTTTTCACTTAATAAACTTTAAAACTTGGAAATGAATGAGAGCAAGACCTATCCCCTGTTACAGTCTATGTCATTGGTAGTCCAAGACATAAAATCCTTGATCCATTTATTACCCATTCCATTTCTATTAATATTCATTTTCCTTACTATGAAGTTTAGTAATAAACAATGCTTCACCGTCTTCATTCCTATTTTTACATGTTTATTTATTCTGCCCTTGATTCATTTACAATAATGTTTTTAAATTCATGAACACAAATATGAAGAACACAACCCTCATAGATTCTGACATCTGTGCATGAGTTCCCTTCAAAATGGGGAACAGATTAGATCCCATTTGTGTTGGACCTCAGAGTTCCAGGCACGTGCTATTCACTGGGCATGACTCATACACCACCAGTCATCATCATTGGTCCAAGATCTCTTTGATTTCACACTAATACAAATTTATCTATTTATTAATTCATTAATAAGAAATACACATCAGTCAGAAAATATAAGAATGATATTCATAAAGATTCCTGACATTCATCTACAGATTCATTTCCATAGACTAAATCTCTTCGTTACTGTCTTCTGTGGTGATGACCTTCTTTGGTCCATATAGTGACCAATCATTATAATACGTCTATCAATCTGATAGTCCATATATTGACCAATCGCTATAATAAGTCTATCAATCTGATAGTAAAATTGGCATGTTTGGGCCTCTTTGGTTACGTTTAGTACATTTTAATAATATAGGAAATACCTTTGTGTAAAAAATCTACACCAACAAAGACAAGAGCATTGACTATTACTCACATTGGTCTTCACACTCTAACACAGAGATGCAGCCAAGATGCTGGTGAGCAGGGATGAGATCGAATCACCTCAAAAGCAGCTATTCTGAGGAGTATGGAGCAAAAAAAGATGATTAAAAAATGAGACATTCCTCCATTGATCCTTGCTTAGCATCTTCCATTTAGTCATTAATTCAGATAATATTACTTGGAGTATATTTATTTCCTTTTCTCTTGAAATGAATAATTTTGAACCTGCCACTGATCCAGAACAAAGACATTATCTAATTAATACAGTCCATGTCATCCTTTGCCAAAATAAACGGCTATGCACCAGTTACCTCTCTTTGGATTTCAGTGTTTTCTAGATATATTAACAAATTTCCTTGTCTCACTACAAATTTTTATAGACAATGTTTTCCCCATTTTACCTTTATTTATGTATTGTTTATTGATTGTTTCATTGACCCAATCATAATAATAACATAACAATGCATGAACAAAGAGACCCAATTTCTTTTGTGAAGGACCTCAGAGTTCCAGACACACATTCATCATGTATGATTCATGCGCCACCAGTGGTCATCATCGATCCAGGATTGGGCCTCCTTTTCTCCATTCTTTTCTATATTGTCTGTTGATTTAATCATTAGTTCACTAACAGTAAATTAAAACCCTATGATTCACAAAACCCCAAGAACAGCCTCGATGTTCTTAATCTGTATATACAATCATCTTATCTCAATGTATCTTCTGCATTAATTATTCTCAGATTTTCACACATGTATTAATCAATATAATGTTTCACATTAATTTCATATTTGTCATTTCTAACAGTGGGCCTTACGTGATTATATTTCACAATTTTTGGCAATGCAGTGAATATCTGAAACCACCTAAACCACAGCAAGAACTTTGACTATTACGCACGTTGATCTCTAAGCTCTGATACAGAGGTACAACCACAGGGCTGGTGGCCATGGAAGAAGGCATAAATCACCTTGAGATTAGCACTCTGAAGAGTACAAAAAAGGGAAGATGATTTTTTAAAATTAGATATTCCTCCACTGACCCTTGCTTATTGAGGTGTTTTGTGCGTTGGACCTCAGAGCTCCAGATACGTATTATCCATCACCTAATGCTTACATGCCGGCGGCTGTCATCACTGGTCCAGGAAGCCCCGCTTTCTTTCCATTCTTCACCACATTGTTTATTGATTAATTCATAAATTCACCGATAATATTTTTTAAAGCCTACGATTCACAAACCTCCAACAAAAGCCTACCTATTTGTTAGGTATCCATCCTTATTCACACATCAGTATATAACTTTTATTATTTAGCTCGATTTTTCCTATATGCATTAATCAGTGTAATGATTCATGTTAACCCCAAATGATGATGTTTCCATTAGGCCTTTTGTGATTATATTTCACACTTTTTAATAATACAGTGAACTTCCTTAAACAAACCACACAACCCATGACAAAAATTTTGACTCTTACTCACATTGGTCTCCAGGCTCTTAATAGAGATTCAACCATACAGTCAGAACCACGGGGAGAATTCTTAAATCAGCTCAGATGGGTCCAATGTGAGAAAAACAGGACAGAACAGAAGATTTTAAAAAGAAGAAGGAGAAGAGACATCTGAGACATTCTCTCCATTGATTCTTGCTTTTTACCTTTAGTCATTTAAGTAATCATAAATTTGGAGTATTTTCTCTTAAGAGAATAATCAAATTCAAAATTGCCATCTATCCAGAACATGAATACTGTCTGTAACTTACACCATTCTGAGCTAAGGAGGTAAGGGTCATGTGAAAGTTATTTCAAATTGAAGTTGAGCATTTTTCTAATACATTAGTAGTGTTTCTTTGCTCACCACATATTTTTAATTTGAACAATACTTCATTAATTTACTTATTGATTGGTTCTTTCATTGATCCAATTATAATAATAGAATCAAAGTATATGAACACAAAGATCAAGCCCAAGATCTTTGGATAGTCCCAATATGGTCCTAGACAGCACCTTATCTCAAGAACATGGATGACATGTCTTTTGTGTTGAACATCGAAGTCCAGACATGTTTTACTCATCGTATGTGGCTCATGCTGTCACTGGTCTCAATTTTCATAATTTCTACTTTTGTTTTGAATGAATCGTTAATCAATTTCTATGAGTAAAATAAGAACATGATTCACCAAAATCTACAAACACGATGCCTGACATAACAAACACCTGTCTAGAGAATCCTTTTCCAAGTTGACAATGTCGCTTTCATTAATCCACCTCTATGTGGCACATTATTGATTAACAAATATGTTCGCCATCAGGCCATGGTTAAATTTTCAATAATTTGTATTTTTTAATAATACTGTGAATACCTTTAATCAAGTACCCAAAGGAAGACAAAACTTCTGGCTATTACCCACGTTAGTTGCTTTCCAGACACAACAGCAATACAGGTTTCCATCCTAGCAGAGCGCCAAGTCCACTTGGTGCATCTATGCTGCTCCATCTTTATACAAAGCAGGGGAGACAATCAAAAAATGAGAAATTCTCTCCACTGACTGATATATGCCACCACCTGTTTGTACCATCTTTTTGGCTTTTAATAATTTATGGGGCTGGGCGCAGGGGCTCACACCTGTAATCCCAGCACTTTGGGAGGTCAAGGTGGGTAGATCACCTGAGGTCAGGAGTTTGAGATCAGCCTGGCCAATGTGGTGAAACCCCGCCTCTACTAAAAATACAAAAATTAGCTGGGCGCGGTGGCAGGTGCCTGTAATCCCAGCCACTTGGGAGGCTAAGACAGGAGAATCACTTGAACTCAGGAGGCGGAGGATACAGTGACCCAAGATTGTGCCACTGCACTCCAACCTGGGCAACAAGAGAGAAACTCCATCTCAAAATAATAATAATAATTTATGGAAATATTTCTTTGTTTTTCTCTTAATAAAATGAACTTCAAACTTGTAACTGACTAAGAATAATTATTATCCGTCACAGTTGATGTCATCTTTAGCCCAAGACATAATAAATTTGTTCTATGTATTATCCGTTCTAACTTATACTAATAATCCGTTTTCGGGGTTTTGTGGTTGTTGTGTTGTTGTTGAGGCAGAGTCTCCCTCTGTCGTCCAGGCTAGAGTGCAGTGGCATGATCTCAGCTCACTGCAACCCCGGGTTCCAACGATTCTCCTACCTCAGCCTCCTGTGTAGCTGGGACTACAGGTGTGTGCCACCATGCCTGGCTAATTTTTGTATTTTTTAGTAGAGATGGGGTTTCGCCATATTGGTCAGGCTGGTCTCGAACTCCTGACCTCGTTATCCTCCCATCACAGCTTCCCAAAGCGCTGGGATTACAAGCGTGAGCCACCGCGCCCAGCCTAATCCATTTTCTTTGTTACGTATTTTAGCAACAAGAAAATGCTTCACTCTCTTCTATTCATTTATACATTCATTTATTTATCCTGCCCTTGATTCTTTTACAATAATATTTTTCAAATACTAACATAAATATACTGAAAAAGAACCTTGCATATCCTGATATCTGTCTATTAGATCCCTTCACAAAGGAGGAACAGACTGGATCCCATTTGTGTTGGACCTCAGAGTTCTAAACACAGGGTATTCACTGTGCATGACTCATACGCCACCGGTAGTCATCATTGGTCCAGGATCAGCCCTCTTTCTCCATTCCTATCTTAATTTGTTTATTCATTAATGTATGAACAAAGAAATACACAGAAATCTAGAAAGAAAAATAAGAATTAGATTCTTAATATCCCTAACATCCATATATATAATCCTTTCCACAGAGACTGAATTTCTTTCATTAACTGAGCTGTTGCATAGATGTGTTACTTAGTATAATGCTTCACACCAATCTGATATTTAACATGGACAGATTTCCCTTATTTGATTATATTTAATACTTTAAAATAATACAGCAAATACCATTCTAAAAACCGCTCGATTTGGTGTAAGAACACGGGCTGCTACTCACATTGGTCTGCATGCTCCTGACACACAGATGCGACCACAGAGCTCATGGCCATGGCAGAGTGCTTGAATCAACTCAAGTGCGTTCATTCTGAGGATTACTGAGCAGAATAGTTGATTTTTAAAAGGTTGTAACATTCTTTCCACTGGCCTTCAACTCCTCTTTCCGTTAGTCATATACAATTAGTAATTTGTAATAATGCTTATTTTTCTCCTATGCAGGCTAACGACGTCAATCTTGCCACTGACCCAGAAAATGAATACAGATATTTATCTATTACTGTCCACATCGTATTTAGCCAAAGATTTAACAATCCTGTACCATTTATTTCTCTTTAGACTGCAGAGTTTCCAGCATATAATAATACTATTTCTTGCCACGTCATCTATTTTTATAATTGGACAATGGTTCACATGAGTCATCTTTATTTAGTTATATATTTGTTCATTGATTCTTGTATTGATCCAATTACAATAATAGAAGGAAAATCATGAGCAGAAAGGACTGGCTTTCTTTTGCATTGGACCTCAGAGTTCCAGACACGTATTATTCATCATCCAAGACTCATACGCCGGTATTCGTCATCATTGGTCCAGGCAGGGCCCACTTTCTTTTCATCCAAATCTACAGTATTTGCTGCTTAATTCAGTAATTCATGTGGAATCGTTATAAAAATTCATGGTTCACTAATTGAAGTATATATTGATATTCATTATATATGCAAACACACACATGTATATATATTAGTTGATTATTTTTTTTATTTTCAATAACACAGTAAATACCCTTAAACAAACCACCCAAACCACACAAGAACTTGACTATTACTCACATTGAAATCTTTCATGTAAGGACAACAACACAGGTCTTGATCAGGGCTAAATTCATAATCAGCTCAGTGCATCCATTCTAAAGAGTCCAAAGCAGAGAAGATGACAAAAATACTGAGACATTCTTTCCATCAATCCATACATGTCACCATTCATTTACATTGTCACTTTGGCTTCTATTAACCAATGGTAATGGTTATTAATAAAATAGAATTTAAGGTTGTAAGTAATTGAAAGTAGTAGCTATAACCTATCACAATCTATGTCATTTTTGGTCCAAGACATAATACCTTTCATCCATGCATATATTATCCATTCCGATTTAAATTAAAATTAATTTTACATAATATATATTTTAAAAATAAACAATGCTTCACCTCCTTATCTTCTTCATTTATACATTTATTTATTCATCCTGCCCTTGACTCTTTTACAACAATATATTTTTAATTCATGAGCAGGAAGATCATGAAGAAGATCCTTCTATATCCTGTATCTTGACATCTGTTTATAAGGGGGAATGGACGAGGTCCCATTGTATTGGACCTCAGAGTTCCAGGCACATGACATTCACTGTGCATGACTCATATGCCACCACTTGCCATCACTGGTCCAGGATCAGCCGTCTTTCTCTATTACCATCTAAATTTGTTTGTTGACTAATCCACCAACAAGGAAATACATATAAGTCTTCAAAAAAAGAATGAGATTCTTGAATGTCCCTAACATTCATCCATATAATCATTTCCACAAAAACTAAATGTCTTTCATTAACTGAGCTCAATGTTTCACATACACATTAATTAACGTAAAGTTTTTAATCTAATGTTTAAATATTGCATTCTTTACCTTCTTTAGTTGTGTTTAATACTTCTTATAATATAGCAAATAACAATGCAAATAATATAGCAAATAGTCGATGCTCCTTCAAAACAAGAAGGAGCATTGACAATGACTCACATTGGTCTTCATGCTCCGAACGCATAGATGCAGCCACAGAGCTTGTAACCATGGGATCAGCGGGCAAACATCCATCCCGAAGCTCGCAGAGCAGAGCACAAACAGATGAGACAGTCCTCCTTGATCTGTGTTTGTCATCTTCCCTTGAGGAAAACATTTGAGAAATCATTATTTGAAGGATACTTATTTTATTTTCTCTTAAGAAAATGAATACCTTGCAACTTTCCTTGACCCAGATGTTGACTTTTATGTATAAATACCAAATGTATCATCCTTGGTCAAACAAGTTACAGTGGTGTAACGTTTATTTCTCTTGAGACGTCAATGCTTTAATATAATATTTTAACATATTATTATATTTAACATGTTAAATATTACATTAAATATTATATATTAATTAATATTACTTTCTATTTAATATATAAAAGCTTTAATATAATAATAACACATCTTGCCTCACCACTTATTTTATCATTGGACAATACTTCATCCCCTTCATATACGTGCATGTATACGTAAAAATTATTTCATTTATCCAATTGTAATAATAGAATGAAGTGAACAAACCCAAAGACCAAAAGCAAACATATTGTGTATTCACAGGATCATTTGAATCAGAAGGAATGGGCCAGATTTCATTTGTGATGGACCTCGGAGTTTCAGACACGTATTTGTTGTATCTGGCTCATACGCCACCAAGTAGTCATCATTGATCAGGGCTGATCTCTATTTTGCTGTTCATTTCTACCTTGTCTATTGATTAAGTCATTTATTCATTAGTAACTTTCAAGGCTCATGATTCACAAAATCCAATAACACTTCTGATATTCCATATCAGTATGTAGAATCGCTGAAACATTAGGTGTGTTTCATTATCCTGTTTTATATATACGCATCATCAATATAATATTTCATGTCACTCCCATATAATTGGGATAGCATTGGCCATCTTCAAGTGTATTTCACACTTTTAAATAATACATTGAGTAGTCTTAAACAAACCACCGAAACCAAAGTAAGGACTTTGACCATTACTCACATTGGTCTGCATGCTCCTTCCTAAGCAGGGTGCAAACAGAGTACATGACCTTGGAGGATGTTCTGATCCTCAAATATGAACAAGGACATCCATTCTGATGAGTACAGAGCAGAGAAGATGATAACAAATTTGAGACATTGTCACCATTGATCCTTGCTTTTCACCTATAATTAGCTAGTCACTTATGCAATCATTATTTGGATTTCATATTAATTTCATTTTCTGTTAAGAAAATTTCATTAATCATAGTAATGTCATTCTTTGTTAAGAAAATGAACAATTTCAATCTTGCTACTGGCCAAGAATTTGAACATTGTCTATAATTATAGTGGCTATATTATCATTGGTCAAAGAGGTGACAGGCATGTGCCATTTATTGCTCTTTGGACTTCATGTTTTCAATACATATGAAATGCTTCTTGCTCACTAGATTTTTATAATCAGAAAATTATTAACATTATTTATCTTTTTATATATAATATATATATTATATACAGGCTCTCACATTGAGCAACTATAAAAATATAATGAAAATAAGTAAACACAAAGATCAAAAACAAATAAATTCTGTATTTCTGACATCTATATATATAGGATCATTTCAAACATACAGAATGAGCTCAATTTCTTTTGTGATGGACCTCAGAGCTCCAGACACATATTCAACATATAAGACTCATATGCCACCGGCAGTCATCATCAGCCTAGGATGGATCATCTCTGTCTTCACTCACTCTTTCTTGTCTGTTGACTGACTCGTTAACTTACTAGTAAGTTCCTATGATTCAAAATAAAACCCAACAATAACCTGGATATTCCATCTCTGTATCTAGAATCATTCTAACACTGATATGTCTGTTTGATTAATTGCCCTCATCTATGCATTACCAATATAATACTTTATATAACTCTCATATCTGTCATAGGGAAAACATTGGCCATCTTCGTATTATACGCTTGTTTTTTTAGATGGAGTCTCATTCTGTTGTGCAGGCTTGAGGGCAGTAGTGCAATCTTGGCTCACTGCAAGCTTCACCTCCCGAGTTCAAGTGATTCTCCTGCCTCAACCTCCCAAGTAGCCGGGATTACAGGCACCCACCCCCATACCCAGCTGATTTTTGTGTTTTTAGTAGAGACAGGGTTTCACCATGTTGGCCAGGCTGGTCTCAAACTCCTGACCTCAGGTGATTCACCCGCCTCAGCCTCCCAAAGTGCTTGGATTACAGGCGTGAGCCACCGCACCTGGCCTATTAAAAACTATTTTATAATACATGACATAGTCTTCAACAAAGCACCACAACAAGAGCTTTGGCCATTACTCACATGGGTCTGCACGCCCCTTCCTAAGCACAGTGCAAACAGAGGACCATGGGAGAATTCTTAAAACAGTACAAGCATGTCCATTTTGAGGAGAACAGAGCAGAGAAGATAACAACAAATTTGAGACATTATCACCATTGATCTTTGCCTTTCACCTTTCATTTAGTGAGTCATTTAGGCCGTAATTATTTGGACTGCATTTATTTCATTTTCTCTTAAGAAGATGGACAATTTTGAACTTGCCACTAACCAAAAAACCAAACGTTATTTATAATTATACTATCTATGTCATCATTGGCCAAAGAGGTAACAGGCATGCACCATTTATCTCTCTCTGGACTTCACTGTTTTCAATACATATTAATAATATATCCTGAAATACTGGAACACTGCTTCACCCATTTTATCTTTACTTATGTATTTGTTTATTGATTCTTACATTGATCCAATTATAAAAATAGAATGAAAATATCACAAAGCAAAATATTTCTGAAATATTTCTATAGCATCATTAGAGGCAGGGAGAATGGACCATGCCTCTTCTCTAACAGACCTCGGAGCTTCAGAGACATGTTCATCATCTAAGGCTCATATGCCACCAGTGGCCATCATCGATCCAGGATCGGTCCTCTTTTTCCCCACTCCCTTCCGCATTATCTATTGATTAGTTAATTCGTTCGCTAATAATTTTAAAGCCCTATATTCTCAAAACCCAAGAATGGCCTTGATATTTCTAGTCTGTATATAAAGTCATCTTACATCAATGTATCTCCTTTATTAATTACCTCCAGTTTTTCATGTATCCATTAATTTATATAGTGCTTCATATCAATTTTGTCACTGGGCCACAGCTGGTCTTCTTTGATTATATTTCACTCTTTTCAATAACATAGTGAGTGAATACCCTTACGCAAACCACCCACACAAAGACGCCAACTTTGATTATCACTCACATTGGTCTCCACACTTCTAATGCCCCATGGCAACCATAGGGCTTGTGACCATGGAAGCGTGCTTACATCAGTTTAAGAGTATCCATTCTAGGATTACCAAGCAGAACACATGGTGAAAAAACTTAAGACCTTATCTGCATTTATCCCTCCTTTCCAAATTTCATTTACTTATTAATTTTTCATTATAAACATGTATTTTTTTCTCTCTGTCTCAACAACAGGAAAAATGTCAAACTTGCAACCAGCCCAGAAAATAAAACTTGATTGATACAGAAAGCCTCAATGTTTTATATATCAAAGGAGGTAATTTACATCAATCCCAACTTCATTACTGGGGTGCATTTGGCCCTCTTTGATTATATTTCATATGCCATTATATAATGAATGCCCTTAGATAAATCACACAAACAGAGACACAAAATGTGATTGTTACTCACACTGGTCTCCATGCTCCTACTGCTGACAGCCTCCATCCTGAGGAACGCAAAGGAGAACCAGTGATCAGAAGGTGGAGACGTTCTCTCCACTGGTAATGGCTTTCCAGCTTTCATTTCTTCAGTCACACAGATAGTTACGAATTGATGCTATTGTCTCTTCTCCTAAAAATAGGACAGAATGGTACTTGCCACTGATACAGAACAATAACACTGACTGTTACTTCTCATTGTCTATACCCATCGTCCCCAACATGTTTAGCACCCAGGACGGGTTTTGCAGAAGACAATCTTCCTACGGACCAGGGCAGGGAGGTGTGGTTTGGGGATGAAACTGCTCTACCTTAGATCATCAGGCATTAGATTCTCATAAGAAGCATGTGACCTAGATCCCTGGCATGCACAGTTCACAAGAGGCTCTGCTCCTATGAGAATCTAATGTCACCACTGATCTGACAAGAGGCAGAGCTCAGGTGGTGATGCTTGCTCAGCCACCGCTCGCCTCCTGCAGTGAGGCCTGGTTCCTAACCCGCCTTGCACGGATACTGGTCCACAGCCCTGAGGTTAGGGACCACTGATCTATGATTCTGTGCCAAAGAGATGATACCCTTGGCCCCACTTATTTACTCATTGGCCTTTGGACTTTCAAATTATATTAATAGTATTTCAGGCCTCACCTCTCATTTTCATTATTGGACACTGCTTCACCCTTTCATGTTCATTGAATTGTATAAACTTTGTCATTGATTGTTTTGGAACAATACAATCAAAATTCATATCCATGAAAGTCCAAGAACATCACCTTAACACGTATTTAATCGTTCTACAGGACTGCATCCACCAGAAGTCACGGGCTAGGTCTCTCTCTAGGTACTAATCTCACTTTCCAGCATCTATTTACTCATCATCTACGACTAAATATGCCGCCAGCCATCACCGCTGGTTTAGGATTTGACATCCTTTTCCTATATTTGTTGATTTATTAGTTTTTCAATAAATTATAGTAAATAAATTTACCTGAGTCACAAATTCCATAGAACATTCTTAAGTATCCAAAAAAACTGTCTACAGAGTAAATTCATTCAACAACTATATCCTTCATTAATTAATCTGTGTTGTCCATATCCATTAAAGAACTTGTATTTCATATCAATCACATAGTATGCCGTAGTCAACTTCTTTGACTTAACATATTATGTAAATAATACAGTAAATTTTTTTTTTTTTTTTT